AGCTCTCTCAATCACTTATGCTAATACACTCGTGGTCCTCTGTAGCTCAGCTGGTAGAGCACGGCGCTTGTAACGCCAAGGTAGTGGGTTCGATCCCCGGGACCACCCATACACAAAAAAAAAAAATGTATGCACGCATGACTGTAAGTCGCTTTGGATAAAAGCGTCTGCTAAATGGCATATTATTATTATTTATCACTCTCAAACAATGATCTGCTCTCACCCCTATTGTACCTAGAGCTACAAACAAAAAGGTTTAAAACCCCCAAAAACAAACATGATAACTTCTGTTCACCGGGATGCCATTGTCCACTTTTACGTTCTCCTTATTGGAAAGCATTGTTAGCATTTTAGTGAATATCCAATTTCCGTTGGATATTCACTTTCTATTTCACACTCATGAAATGTCTATTATTTTGAGATTAATATGTAATGTGCCGAAATTATAAAATACATCAGCCAATTCAGAAGGAGGGGAGAGATAAACTTTGGAGGGAGCTTCCTTTTAAAGATAGCTCTCGAGACTAGAGTTTCTTTCTAAGATCAACATTTATTATAACTGGGCTAGCACTGCCTATCAGTCCACTAACATTGGAGTGCTCTGTCCATAATGAGTCTGGAACTTGAGACAGAATAGACTGAGAGACAGAGCCAGTTTCCCACTCCGTCTCTGGGAGTGGTTCAATTTCCCTACTCACGAATTGGTTTAGAATTTCATTGTTAGGGATATCAACGAAAACTCCATCGGGAGTACTATAAATCGTAGCATTTAGTGTTGTCAGCAAGTCTCTTCCCAGTTAATTAAATGGTTGAGTGGTTGAATATAGGAAATCCTGTTCAATGTTTACTAGTCCTATAGAACAGGGCATGGGTTCTTTTTCAAAATGTACTACCGGGGTGGAGGAAATCCCATAAGCGGTTATAGTTTTATTGGTTAGGGGTAAGTCAAGTCCAGTTTCTTTACTAAAAGTGGATGTAGTAGCACCCGTATCTACCAACATAGGAATTTATTTTCCTTGTATTTTTACCATAATGTTTGGGCCAGATTGGTCTACCTTTACCTGTGGGCATTACTGTATCAAGGATGTTATTTCCCCTGAGGGACGTCCCTATTGTGGCTGGTTTTTCCTTTCCCACATTTCTAGTATTTTTGGGCATTCAGTTCTTCAGTGGTTGGGATCGAGACAATAGAAGCAGCCTTCATCTCCATCCCTATCCCCCTAGCTGCCCCGTTGTTCCAACCCCTGCCACGCCCGCGCCCACGACCCCGTCCCCTGTCGCGACTGCGGCCTGCAGGTCGAAAAGCTCCTGTCATATAAAACTGTAGCTGAGCTGCCTGTAAGCGATGGTCAGTTTTGGTGGAATTATGTTTAATAGTTTCCATGCAATGCTGAGCTAGGATAGTAACTTCCGGGACGGGTTTTAGCCTGCCAACCTGGAGTAATTTGGTTGAGACCTTCTTAGCTAACCTACACACATAATGCTGAGACCAGGGGGCCTGTTAACCCCCTCTGCATCAGACGCCATTCCAGAGTGCTTGAAAAAAAATGTATCTCATTCTGCTCGAGAAACCATGGGCATCTTCACAATCAAATCAAATCAAATTGTATTTGTCACATACACATGTTTAGCAGATGTTATTGCGGGTGTAACGAAATGCCATAACACAGGATGTAATTTTGGTCCAATCTACTCGAGTAGGGTAGCGGTGCAACACTACTGCTGTTAGGGCTTCTGTTTTCAGTGGATGATACAAAACCACTGGTGGTGGGGGTTGAGGCTGTGTAGCGGGAGCTGAGGGAGGGGCCGGTTTATCGGTACATTTAGAGGGTTTACCACCCATGATTTCTAATTGTTTTCTTAGTACCGTATTATTACTCCAAATCACTTACATTTGTATTGTTTTCTCAGTTTTTTTTATTGCTACCTAATCAAATCTCTAGTAACCCATTATTCACACATTTATCACTTCATCTCTCTTTATCCAACTTCGTCTATCAACCGACACAATTCTACCCGACCACTGGTATATCACTTCCTCACTATACTCAACCCATCCTAATACCAACCAAACAATTACAGTCAAATGTATGTAATTACCTTCATTCATCATTCTTACTTTTACCAACCTCATTAACCCTCTCATGTGTGCAAACTGATAGGCCTCCTGTAGCTCAGTTGGTAGAGCATGGCGCTTGCAACGCTAGGGTTGTGGGTTCGATTCCCACGGGGGGCCAGTATGAAAAATTTATGCACTCACTAACTGTAAGCCGCTCTGGATAAGAGTGTCTGCTAAATGACGTAAATATATATATTATAACTATAATCTAGTTGTAGGCTATCCTATTCCTACTTGCAGGATATCTTTAATACATATGAGCAGCTGCAAGGTAGATCACCCTCTGATCGCAGTCAGGGAAAGAGCTTGAAGAGTAAATTGTTACATGTCACTTATAAAGTGGGAGGTGATAATACAATCATATTGTTTACACAACAGTCCTTTAATACAAGCAACAGTTCCAGAACACAATGGCCTAGTGTTAGGGTGCAGTGATAACAGAAGTCTATGAAATGCATATCACAGTCCAACACAGAACAGTAACATAATCCTTGAGAAGTTACAACAGCTCACCCCAATTCTGCCAGAACAGCCTAGACAGTATGTACAGTTAATTATATGCCTAAATTATAGGCAAAGTGAATGTAGGCTAGTTTATGAAGAATTAATAAACAGTTATGTATGTTTGGTTGAAGTTGTGATTGTCGTGTTGGTGCTTATGAGATAATGGGTTTACACATGGCAGCAATGTAATTCATTATTACTGCTATCATCAATAATATGGCATAACATGCCATCACCGCGCGCACTCTTTTGCATACGGAGGCTCCTCCCCACTGCTCCGCCTCTTGTTTTTCTGTATAGACATGCATGTCACGTGAGGGTAAATCCACCAATCTTCGTGTAGAAGAGCACAGCTCGAGCGAGCTCGCAAACTTCCCAGCAGGACCAGCCCGCTACTCAGGCAGCCTAGTGTGTATAGTAGGAGCGATGTCGGGGCCGTACGGATTGTTTTGAGGAAAGTTGATGGAACGTTTGGTTATCTTTCGGATCCTAGCGAATCATTTAAACGCAACAAAACTTCACATTGTTGTTTACAGGAGGATTCATACTGACAAGACATTAGCTGCATTTATACTCAAACTTTTTTTAAGTGTCAGTGCAGTCAATGGGCTGACGACCTAAGCTAACCTTAGCTAGCGTAACGAATGGGCTAGCTAGCTAAAGGTTTTGGAGAGCGATTAAACTAACGTTAGCTAAACTTGCCAGCTAAAAGTTAGATGAAAACGTAGTTCGGCTACCAACAACGATATAGCTAATACTGTTGTTGGCGTATGTTTCTGCTGTTTAACCCACGTTTGTTTCGACTGAATGTGCAGGTAACGTTACTCTTTTGGCACTTGAGAAACTTCATAGCCTGACTGAGATAATTCAGGAGCTAACGTTAGCACAGCTACTGCAGGTATGGACTTTTTGTAGCTACTAAGCTAGCTAGCTGTAATTGGGGCTTATTTTTCACTGTCCGTAGTGGGACTGGGTCAACTTCCATGTACACTCTGATAAGTAGCTAGCTACATAAATATAATGTGTTCCTTCAAACTAGCGTAACTTTATAGCTGGCTAGCTAGCTAATCTTAGCACTCTAACTAGGTACTAGCTAGTTTATTGGATAGTTACGTTTCAGAAGTTGGTCCACAAATAAACTTTTCCTGGAGAGGAAAGTAGCAAACGTGTCTTACCAGGACTTTGGAATACCATGTTGGGACCGTCTTGCCCATTTGTGATATCGTTCTGAACGATTCACATTCCGATGAGTTTAGAGGTCCTTTTGAAAGTTTGATTTTGCAACAGCTTTGCACTCTTCCGATGAGTTTAGAGGTCCTTTGAAAGTTTGATTTTGCAACAGCTTTGCACTCTATGGTGCGGCTACAGACACCGAGAAATGGATGTTTCCAAGGCCGGTTTCCCAAACGGTGAGGGGCGACCGAAAGACACTGGAGAGCATGCCTGGACAGATTCCCCCACCGCAAGAGCTTGGGCTCATTCTGCTCCCCTGTCCCGATCGCTGTGGACGGCTGTGTTTGACTATGGAAGTACTGGAGAAGATGAACTTAGTCTGCGGCGGGGGGACGTGGTTGAGGTCCTCTCAAAGGATGCTGCGATCTCGGGAGATGAAGGATGGTGGACGGGTAAAATTAACCACCGAGTCGGGATTTTCCCTGCAAATTATGTTACGTGTCAACCTGCAATTTACAGACTTCCCGACGGTAGCACGGTAGGGGTGCGGGAGCGTCCGAGTACTCCAGTGCAAATAGATTTTAGTGAACTCGTTTTAGAGGAAATAATCGGTGTCGGGGGATTCGGTAAAGTTTATCGAGGGGCATGGAAGGACCAAGAGGTCGCTGTAAAGGCAGCCCGACAGGATCCAGACGAAGACATTACTGCAACTTCGGACGGTGTTAAACAAGAGGCCAAGCTCTTCTCCATGCTACAACATCCCAATATAATAAAACTTGAAGGTGTCTGTCTTGAGGAGCCGAACCTGTGCTTGGTGATGGAATATGCTCGTGGAGGGACTCTTAACAGGGCTTTGACTGGTCGGAGGATACCCCCACACATTCTTGTCAACTGGGCTGTTCAAATCGCCAGGGGCATGCACTACCTACATGAGGAGGCTGTTGTGCCCATTATTCACCGCGACCTGAAATCCTGCAACAGTAAGCAACATATATTACCATCTGCTCAAAATAACCGTCAATCACTTTTCAGAACAGATGAAAATCTGAGCATGGCCACAGGAATGGTCCACAATCTCCTCTACCAACTAAAACATTAACCTAAAGCTCATGAATGCACTTTTACTATCACCATACAACTGACAAACAATATATATCCTAGCACCAAGTAATGTTTGGTTCTGCACATTTTCTTATTAGGAAAGATGCCATATCTAAGCCTAGAATGCTATTGTAGTGTAAACTCAGCTGCTCTACTTAAACTTCAGGTGACATTGCATGCATGTTGTAGATAGGCCTACCACTATCAACTGAGAGTTGAGGGTTGGTGTTTGAAGGAATTATTTGTTGAACCCAGAGCAAGGTCTTCTCCGCCATGACTTTCCCTGTTCAAACTATCACACAAACTCTCTGAAACCCTGTTATGCTAACCCCACATTAATGATATGCTAGAACAGGATTATGATGATCATATTCATTCACTTATAATCAATTGGTCACCTGGCCCCAGTGGCATGTTGAAAGAGAACTACTGTCATACTACTTCCTATATCTATACATTGTATAGACCTAGGTATTGTTGACATACAGTGAGCTCCAAAAGTATTGGGACAGCAAAACATGTTTTGTTGTTTTGCCTCTGTACTCCAGCACTTTAGATTTGAAATGAAGACTGTCAGCTTTATTTTGAGGGTATTTTCATCCATATTGGGTGAACTGTTTATAAATTATAGCACTTTTTGTACATAGTCCCTCCATTTTAGAGGACAAATTCACTTATGTGTATTAAAGTAGTCAAAAGTTTAGTATTTGGTCCCATATTCCTAGCAAGCATTGATTACATCAAGCTTGTGACTCTACAAACTTTTTGGTTGTTTCAGATTATTTTGTCCCCAATAGAAATGAATGGTCATTTTGTAGTCATTTTTATTGTAAATAAGAATATAATGTTTTTAAACACTACATTAATGTGGATGCTACCTTTATTACGGATAGTCCTGAATGAATCGTGAATAATGATGAGCGAGAAAGTTACAGATGCACAAATATCATACCCCCCCCAAAAAATGCTAACCTCCCCTGTTATTGTAATGAGACATTAGCGTGTCTTGGGGATATAATATATTATTATTCACGATTCATTCAGGACTATCCGTAATCATGGTAGCATCCACATTAATGTAGAAGTGTTCACCCGATATGGATGAAAACACCCTAAAATTAAAGCTGACAATCTGCACGTTAACCTCATAGTCATTGTATAATTTCAGTACAGAGCCAAAACAACAAAAAATGTGTCACTGGCCCAATACTTTTGGAGCTCACTGTATCTGTACCATATTGTGTGACAGATAATTGAAAGGGAACTCTTGTGACAATACATGAAGTTAAAGGTGCAATATGCAGAAATCACTCCGCCATTTCATGGTTGCTAAAATTCCTATAGTTCGCCTAATTTCAGTTTGTGACAAAGCAAGTGTAGAGAATCATTGTACCTTCTAAACTGCTGTGCAATATCTTTTCAATAACATAAACTATTGTATTTTCAGCTGTGAAGATGGTGTACAAAACCGAAAGTAAAAGACGCAAATACGAAACTTAACCTCTACGGGATCAGTGTCCCGTATACGGGACGGTTGAGCTAACATGCGCTAATGTGATTAGCATGACTGTTGTAAGTAACAGCAAATTTTCCAGGACATAGACATGTCTTATATGGGCAGAAAGCTTACATTCTTGTTAATCTAACGGCACTGTCCAATTTACAGTAGATATTACAGTGAATAAATACCTTGCTATTGTTTGAGGAGAGTGCACAACAACAACAAAAACGTATCACGATAACTGGTTTGATACATTCACCTCTGAAGGTAAATAATGTACTTATATTCAGTAATCTTACTCTGATTTGTCATACTAAGGGTCCCAGAGATAAAATGTAGCATAGTTTTGGTTGATCAAATCCATTTTTGTATTGAAATGTAGGAACTGGGTTCTACAGTTTGAACCCCTACTGTCTCTGGCTCCACACCCACCCCGCCCGGCCATCTAGATGTGTGAAAGTTAGTGTATAAGCTAATGATCCATCATGTATGACATTCCTGGAGTGTGTAAACTTACATTTTGTATTACCATATCATTTTTGTATGTTCTCTATAGTTATGTACTTGAAAAGTTATCAATTGACCAATTCGGCACATTTGGGCGGACTTGATACAAAATAGTCCAGTATTGCAATGCTTCACTGGATCAATCTGAAACTTTGCACACACACTGCTGCCATCTAGTGGGCAAAATCTAAATTGCGCCTAAACTGCAATATTATATTGTGGCCTTTCTCTTACATTTCAAAGATGATAAAAAAAATACATAAAAAGAAAACAAATTATTTTTTGTTTGTATTATCTTTTATCAGATCTAATGTGTTATATTCTCCTACATTCATTTCACATTTCCACAAATTTCAAAGTGTTTCCTTTCAAATGGTATCAAGAATATGCATATAATCTATAAATCACTGCTAGGCAAATCCCCGCCTTATTTTAGCTCATTGGTCACCATAGCAGCACCCACCCGTAGTCTGCGCTCCAGCAGGTATATCTCACTGGTCATTCCCAAAGCCAACACCTCCTTTGGCCACCATTCCTTCCAGTTCTCTGCTGCCAATGACTGGAACGAATTGCAAAAATCTCTGAAGCTGGAGACTTATCTCCCTCACTAACTTTAAGCATCAGTTGTCAGAGCACCTTACCGATCACTGCACCTGTACACAGCCCATCTGAAATTAGCCCACCCAACTACCTCATCCCTATATTGTTATTTATTTTGCTCTTTTGCACCCTAGTATCTCTATTTGCACATAATCTCTTGCACATCTACCATTCCAGTGTTAATACTAATTGTAATTATTTTGCACTATAGCCTATTTATTGCCTTACCTCCATAACTTGCTACATTTGCACACACTGTATATATATTTTCTGTTGTATTTTTTGACTTTATGTTTTTTTACCCCATATGTAACTCTGTGTTGTTGTTTTTATCGCACTGCTTTGCTTTATCTTGGCCAGGTCGCAGTTGTAAATGAGAACTTGTTCTCAACTGGCTTACCTGGTTAAATAAAGGTGAAATAAATAAATAAAATAAAAAATATCCTTGCTTCAGGTCCTGAGCTACATGCAGTTAGATTTGGGTATGTCATTTTAGGCAAAAATTGAAAAAAAGGGTCCGATCCTTAAGAGGTTAAACACGGGAAGCATAGAAATAGTGCACATAGAACAGATCTACCACTTCTTAGACTTGCTTTCAATGCGAATGACAGATCTATAACTATGCTAATTTGGTCGGGTCACCCAAAAAGTGACATATTACAGATTTAATTTAAGTTGGCCAAAGCAGTAATGTTTTACATTCTGACCCAAATACGTCTGTATGCCTTTGGGAAGTGCAGAATCATTGCTGCTATGAAATGGCACCATCTCCATATTCCATTCATTTCCACAGTCCACAGGCAACTTTCCCTCTCCCAACTCCTTTCCGGTCACCCCTATGGACTCCAGAGGCCTGTACAAGCAGCTGAGAGCTGTCCTCCATCTGCTTGTCGGTCTGTTAGGCATGTGACTGATCCTCAGAAACCCAGATCCTCTTCAGGGCATGTGAGAACCATGCAGGGCCCTAAAGAAGGATCTTTGTATGCAGGGGGGGACCCTCGAGAGGATGTGAAGTAAGGTCTACGTTTGCTCAGCTGGGGTCCCTAACCCCATCCCCCCTGAAATGTTGTCTCAAATAAAGCCCCTGATTTATAAACACTCAACTTCAAACCATGTCATCAGTGTATGTGCTCCTAAATCACATGAGTGCTGTTACCATGTTGGAGCTCACAACTGTAATAACAATATGGTCATATTCCTAAACCTCTCATATTATGCTTATATGGCCCATGTGGAAATCAAACCCACAATCCCAGTGTTGCAAGAACCAACCCACACTGAGCCACTAGAAAACATAAAGATTCTAGAACTGACCCTTGCTACAGTTAGGTCTTAGGCCTGTTTTTCAGTTGGTGAGAAGATTTAGACTCAAACCTTGGTGCTTTTGAGGCCTCTGAGTCCTCCCTCCTAAATAATGCATGAAAATGTTTAAGTTGACTGACTGTGGCCATGTACGTCAGTGTGAGACATCACCGCTGTGTTCTGTGAAACATGATTCTGTCACAGTCTGATCTGTGGTATACCGATAGTGGCTTGTCTAATCAGGCTCTGATTTCTCGGAAGGTGAACCTTGTTCGGCAATCCATTTTGCTGTATTTTTTGTTTTCGCCAGGGAATCATACACGTGTCTACATTGTACTGTCAGATGTGCGGGTGTGGGCAAACCGAACCTCTTTTATTGAACAGCTATTCGGGTAGCACATGCTAAATGGACAATAGACACTTGCTCACACCCCACCCCCAAGCAGCACTGCACTGCTAACACAAGTTAGTGTGTTTATCTTTCCACATTATTGTGACAGACAACACTGGTAGCTTGCTGAATTTAATTGGGGAAAATGTGTTTGTTTTAGGGGGCTCACTGAATTCACCCACCGACACCCCCACCGGGAACTATACACTTTCTGTTGTTTAAACCAGTTACTTATGACACCAGCCACAAATAAGGGAGCCCAGAGGGTAATTCATCTGTGGGATATTGGTGTGAAGGTTTGTCTTGAGCATGCATTGTAAGATGAGGGAAAATGCAGTGCACAAACTTTCACAACCCAACTACCTTTAGAACTGATCAACCCACAATTTACTTAGTGTAGTACTACACACTGATTTGATCAATTATTATCTTAAGGGAATATCAAAAAGTCAGTGAAATTGTTTTTCTTTGTGTCCCTTAATCTTTTAATACCTCTCGGTCGAAGGAGGAATGCCGCTAATGAGGGGCAAAAGCTTAACATAAGTTTGCACAATGGAGTGGTCAAGCACTAGTTGCTAGGTGACAGCAGCCACAAGAATGCCCAGACTCCAGGGTCTGAAAGGCTTATTTTCATTATATTTAATCTCCACAACAGCTGCAACTCTGTTGTTTTCCCCCCCGTTTTTTTCCCCAAGAGGTTATTCCTTCTTGCTGGTTGGAGCTGGAGAGCAGAGAGGTACTGTAGATGGAAGCAATGTTCATTGGCAGGCAGTGCAGAGCACACTGAAACTTGGCCTCTTGCCAGCCCTCATAACACACTTTAATTTTGTAGTTTCGGGTACAGAGATGCAAAGGTTAAAGAATGTCAAGAATCTCGCTCCAGAATGGAGGTAACAATAGTGCCCTGTTGGAGTGCACACAGTGTTATCTTGTGTATCCATGTCATGGCTATTGTTGTGTCTAGCGCTCCGGTTTACACCCCAACCTATAAAATGGTTACCATAAATATATAGGCCCTTACAGAGGAGGGCTTAAGTAAGCTAAGCATGGCTATAGATTGCAAGGCAACTTTTTTTGTCTCTTCCCTGCAGTTAACCACAATAATGAGTAGTTCGCTTACTGTAGGTTTTTTCTGAAAGGAAAACTGGAAATGCTTTGAGTATTTTTTTATTATGGCCACTAAGGAACTGCCTATCATCCGGCATGTTGACAGCTGGAGAAAACCTGACTGACTCAACCCAGTGTTCTGTCTACAAATGATCACCTTGAGCTGGTACCTTTAAGGCTAACTCTTTGTGTATATAGTGTGGTAGAAACACAAGACTAAGCAAAGGGAAATGTCCTGAAAAATAACAGGAGGCAAGACATTTTCATCAGCGCCACCCAGGCCTATGGCCTAATAGACAAACTATAGGCCTAGTCTCTATTAGAAAGACTCTTAACAAATTGATTTTTAAAGATAGTCTAGTCCTTTAGGCTGTGGTTTACTCCCCTCCCTGCTACTGAATCATGTTAATTACTATGGCAGAGCTCAGGTTCCCACATCTACATCTGAGGTAACTCCTTTAAAGGCCTGAAATGTGCCAGGGGCGTTTCACTGACATACAGCCTAGGTTAACCCTACTAGTATTCAGAGGTTTGGACCAGCATTCAGTGTGGGGTTAGCATTAGTATATCATGTAATTTTTTTACATTTACATTTTAGTCATTTAGCAGACGCTCTTATCCAGAGCGACTTACAGTTTTTTTTAGTGAGTGCATACATTTTTCATACTGTAATCAGGGAGTCTGTTATCAATAAATATACCACTAATCTGTATCCTGTTCTGAAAAAATATAGAGTATTATGTTGGGTAACTAGCCTAAACAGAATTTATAGAATCATGGAAAACGAGATGAAACTGCTGTATTTTAAAGGCTCTCATTAAGCCAGAAAAACCTGTTTGAAATGGAATGCCAATTGTCACATTCTCTTTAGGAATAGGCTTAGTTTCTTCCTAAAAGCCTACTTGAATATTGTGCCACTCTAAGGATCATATTTGTTTAAATCTAAGTGAAGGTAGACACTATGTCTGTTACAGTATAATGTTTATCTTCTACAAATAACAGACACAAATAAGGTCAAAAATAATCTTCTTACACTACCATAGCTCTCCATCATATTGTTGCTGTCCTGCTCCACAGTGGTTTTGTTACATTACCCTCCTCCAGATGTAGCCTATGTTGTCACCCTCCCATTTGGCAAGTCAGGGACTGTGAGCTGGCAGTAGAGTCAAGGTCTCTTCTGGCCGCCCTTATCTACTGTAGGCTCTATTCTGGAGTAGATGATTATTAACACTCTGGGCATGGGAAAGTTAAAAGGGCTCCCCTGTAAAATGAAATATGTGTTTAGTCTTTAGATAATGGCTTTTTGTTAGCTTGGCCAAGTTGGCTATGGTGTTGATATGGAGGAGTCAAGGACAGAATGAGCTGATATCTGACTTTCAGGCAACCACCCCCAGTCTTGGAGTCTGTTACACATTCTCTTTAATCGACAGGTGTCCAAACCTGGAGTGAATGCCAATGTTAATAGGTTCTTAATAAGTAAAGGGCGGCACAGCTACCAAAGTAAACAATGGCCTGCGTTCTTTAGCTAGGCCTATAGTTTGGGTACAGTGTGTAATATCCATATTGTGTATATGTCCATGAGGAAGAATGTCTTCTAAATTAAAGGAGGAGTAATCAGGTTTCACTGCATATTTATATTGTTATTCTTTGAATCGCACAAAGTGCTTCATATTCACATCGTCTTTAAATAAAGCAAAAACTGCAATCCTCGGAGAACACTTCATACTGTTTCTTGCCTATTCATTTAATTAAAGGGTGATATGTTTGGTGTTACTTTACAGACAGCTTCTGTAAGTATCAGTATAAAGAATGTTTAAGACCTGGGGACAGATCTATTATAATGCTGTCATCTTCCCCATTGATCATAATGAAAAAGCTGCTTTTTTTATTTATGTTTATACACCTAAAATATATCCAATTGTGTGTCACCAAATACCTAACCAACCCTCTCCTCTGTCCTCTCCTTTTTGCCTAGTTTTATTACTTGAAAAAATAGAGAACGATGACATTGGAAGGAAGACTTTGAAAATCACAGACTTTGGCCTGGCCAGAGAGTGGCACAACACCACCGAGATGAGTGCTGCTGGCACGTACTCATGGATGGCCCCTGAAGTCATCAAGTCCTCCCTCTTCTCCAAAGGCAGCGATGTCTGGAGGTAAAACGAACAGCACGCTCCTTCTTCTTCCTGTTCCAAACAAAGGCCCCAAGTCAGACTGGAATCAATAGGGTTTTTAGGAAATTATGATCTGGAAAGGTGGCACCTTGATACTCCTTTTATTTCCAGACATTTAGAAACATTTGTCCCGACCTATTTCTGAAAAGTGCTCTCATTGTTATTTTGTTTAAACCAAAACTGTTCTGTCAGATAACCACTTTATGTACATTCTGTACTACTATGATGTGCATTATAGCCTACAGTATCCCTGAACACCCTCTACTGGTAACTACAATCTGCTGCACAGGGAGCTAACATTCATTTCATGAAAGATGAAGACTGTAGGCTTAGTGCTTAATTTAAACAGGATCATTTTTGTTAGCACTGTACTGGTAAACAACATTTTACTGCCATTATTTAGTATTCAACAAGTCCATTATTCAAGACCAAGTTCCTCTAAACAGTAGACCTAAGCACTACAAGAAAGGTTTAGGCAATGTGAATTTGAGTGTTATAATAGTGTTATAATAACATGGGTGTTATTAGGACATTGTACTCACTGTATCTGTGTTCTCTCTACTAGTTATGGGGTCCTGTTATGGGAGTTGCTGACAGGAGAGGTGCCTTACCGTGGGATTGATGGGCTGGCTGTGGCCTATGGTGTGGCTGTCAACAAGTTAACCCTCCCTATTCCATCCACCTGCCCAGAACCCTTCGCCAAGCTCATGGAAGGTGCTGTCACCAAGTCCGACCATCCATCTGCTGTTACCGTTCCTCAACCCATGTTGCCTGAAGTACATTCATAGGATAATAAATTCATTCCAGGACATTTGTGTGTGTATTTGGTCGCTGGTTCAAATACCCAAGCCGACAAGGTGAAAAGTCTGCAGATGTGCCCTTGAGCAAGGCAGTTAACCCTCATTTGCTCCAGGGGTGCAGTACTACTATGGCTGACCCTGTAAAACAACACATTTCACTGCACCTATACAGTGTATGTGACAGTAAAACATCTATACTTTTTTTTTTTTTTTTTTTTTACCATCACACAACTAGATATTGGTGTTGATTTAGTTCCAGAACATTGATCTCAATCTTGGTTCCACCTTGTTGTTTATCTCAGAGTGCTGGGAGCAGGACCCCCACATCCGGCCGTCGTTTGCCTCCATCCTGGAGCAGCTGACAGCCATAGAGGAGGCGGTGATGGCCACTATGCCCCAGGACTCCTTCCACTCCATGCAGGAGGACTGGAGGGTGGAGATCCAGGAGATGTTTGACGAGCTCAGGACAAAAGAAAAGGTACAGGTGTAGGATCTTAATTTGATCACTCGTTTGTTGCTGAGAATTTTCCTGCACCGCAGGAAATGCATAAGAGCTTCATGATTTACATAAATTAACTGAAAACCCACACTAACACATTATTATATTAACAGTATTGTACTTTGCATGTAGCAACATTATGGATTAAACATTCAAATCCTGTTGCTACATGAGTATTTTGCTGTGACTATATATGTCAAATTAAGACCCTACATCTGTAATAACAGCAAGTGTCACATCCCTCCCCGTATGCCTTCGTTCATTTGATCAGTGTAGGGGGATGTATTCCCTAACATAGTGCCTATCACCATTCGCATCCTCTGGTCCTCTGTAGCTCAGCTGGTAGAGCACGGCGCTTGTAACGCCAAGGTAGTGGGTTCGATCCCCGGGACCACCCATACACAAAAATGTATGCACGCACGACTGTAAGTCGCTTTGGATAAAAGCGTCTGCTAAACGGCATATTATTATTATTATTATTATTATGTCAGCACTCAGGACACAGTGAGAGACGTTGTGCAATGTGCGTTTGTCCTGATTTATAACTTAGACTCATTCTTTGTCGTTTTATGAAGTAGATAAGTTGTATAGCTAGGTAAACCTCCAGTATAAACTGAGAAGGATAACGTTAGAAGCCCTTGGAAGGCAGCGGTGCAATAAACCTGTAGTTAAGGGAATGCTTTGATTTTTATTGGTTACTTTCTGCAGGCGAGCTAATTGTGTCTTTAACAAAACAAGCTATTCGCGTTGATGGTTATAAGTATTTCCAATTGTTAATACGATAAGCTGCTTCCCTTCTTAGTCCCTCCTCTTATATCAAATGGGAATTGTAATTGCTGTATCGAGAATGCGCTTTCATGTAAATTCAGCTGAATCGTTAAGCAGCAAACTTGGCAAATTGCGCAATATGCAAAACCTCTCCCAGGGATTGTCTAGCATGTCAATTCTTCATGTTATTTCCCCATACGACACCAGTTAATTTCATTACCTCTAAAAAGTAACAGAAGCACATACATTGTTCCTCCTGATTGTGAGTTTCTACATTCCATTGTTAAAGGTTGCCTATGATCTAAAACGCTTATCCATCTATATTTCTGAGGGACCAGAAGTCTAAACCTAGGTCTGAGGTTCAGTTTGCTTCATTTTTTTGGCATACTCCTTTCTTCTAAAACGTCAAAGTGATGTTTTGAGTCCAAGTATATAGGGCTATTGTTTTTCAGTTCTTTTTAACAATCAAATTATAATATTTTTTCTACCTCACAAGTTGCAACATTGTTGTTACACAACATTAATCACATTTTCGCTTCAGTGGGTTTGTAAAGCTGCTTTGCAGAAGTAATTCATGAAGGATTATTCAGTTGTTATAGGAAACAAAATCAAGAACATGAAATCCAAATACTGCCCTGCACAGTAGATCAACTGATTTTGTTAACCCTACTCATTTGCAACCTAGTTGACAATCGATGGCAACCTCTTAGCCAGGCAGTCCAAGGCCTCTCTACTACTCTGTAGATGTGCCTCATCAACTAAGGGGCCCCCTTTAGCTTGTGATCTTTGGCTTAGTCATCCCCTCCCCACACACCACAAGGTTTCTGCAAAGCTCCATGAATCTAGTTGGGATTTACAACCTGTGAGTGCTGGCCAGCCTCTCTTAAAAGAGCTCTCCTTCATTCAGGGCTCTGCTCCAGGGTACTGATCACTGCTGTGCTGGGTGGTGTTTGGAGAGAGCTTTGAGTTATTTGCAAATGTAAATCTGTAAACAAGGAAGGTATTTGTGAGTTATTTTTAGCAAAAATGATAGACAGAAGGGATAAGGAAATAATGCACTGCCTAGCACCGGTCTCTGTGGATCATTATGCCAGTGTTTCCCCTACTATTGTATAGCAGAGGCGGGCACCCCTGCCTATCGCTGTCCCCCCCCCCCCCCCCCCCCCTCTTTGGCTTCGATTGGTCTGAATTTATTATTTTGTTACTTTGGGCGAGTGTGCACCCCACCGGATGCAAAATGTGGGGGGAAAAACTATATTATGCAGAGTTGTCTGTCGTCTGACCCTCCTACATGTGTTCCTTCCTTCCTGTAGGAGCTGCGTTCCCGGGAGGAGGAGCTGACGCGTGCGGCGCTGCAGCAGAAGTCCCACGAGGAGCTGCTGAAGAGGAGAGAGCAGCAGCTGGCAGAGCGGGAGATCAACGTGCTGGAGAGGGAACTCAACATCCTCATCTTCCAGCTCAACAAGGACAAGCCCAACGTCAAGAAGAGGAAGGGCAAGTTCAAACGTAGCCGCCTCAAACTCAAGGACGGCAACCGCATCAGCCTGCCGTCAGGTGGGTGTTTCTGACTGTCTTTCTGTCTAGTCGTGATAGTCTATCTTTAAGTCAATGTTATCTTTGAGTTGAGAAAAAAAGTTCCTCAACACATTTTCAAAAAAGTTACACTTAAAATCATTGCTTGAAATCCCGCCTCCTTCACCCAAATAACCTCAAAATAACCAGTGACGGAAGACCGAAGCACCGGAACCCAGTCTTTTGACAGTTGGTAGTCTGTCCACTAGAGATTACACAAATGGTAAAAGCTAAACAAGTGACCAACCAACCTGGCCTGTGTCTCTGTTTTCTAGATTTCCAGCACAAGATCACAGTGCAGGCGTCACCCTCCATGGACAAGAGGAGGAGTCTGAACAGCTCCAGCCCCCCCAGCAGCCCCACACTCATACCCCGCCTCCGGGCCATCCAGTGTAAGTGCACCTCAGACAATCAATCCACATACTGCATTAAAACAGGAACACGACAGACCTGGGTCAAATGCAAAACAAAACAGTATAACAGTATCAAATAAAGTATTTTTATGTGTGCTTCATTTTGGCATAGCTGTTATGACTGGGTAAGCTTCCCTCTCCAAACTCTGATGTGGTTCTGCGTGAATGTTTTCTCCCTCTAGTGTGTGCCCGCATTGACAGTATCCAAAGGGACAGTATGTATGTGTATCACCAGCATGTGGATATCACCAGCGAGTGCCAGCCCTCTACTGGGTCTAGGAAGAAAGGCAAGCAACTGTGTGGCATTGTTGGGATGTGGCCACTGTCTGCTGTGTGTGCACCGGCTAACGTGTTTCTCAACGACTAGGGTTCTAACAACGGACTACCAGCTGCTGCCTGTGTGCTTCTGGCTACTAAGACAACTTGGACTATCATCATCGCTGATTTCAGAAAATGTACATGGGTTTATCCTCTGAAAAGCCCTGGGTGTTTCAGGGTTTTTACTACTACTAATAATAATATGGGTTTGCTTTGAAATGAAGAACACGTTGGGATGCATTAGAGGTTGTTTGTAACCTGTAATGTTTATCACTAACTGATCACAGAAGGCGTTTTTTATTTGCAACCCAACCTGTTCTTGAAATATTGACATCAATATACTGGGTCTCTTTGATTTCCTAACCAGTGTTCAGCTGCAGGGATTATATTCATATTTCTTATTGCGGTGGATGGTGGAGGTTGTTTTCTCAAATAATCCAGTCCTCTAATTGCTTAGCCACTCAAGTGTTTGAAGACATATATCTGCTGTTGGCCTGGACTCTCACAGAGATTTGTCACTGGGGCATTGGTGTACTCTGCCAGTTGTTGACTGATGTTCTCCTTCATCACAGTGACTCTGGACGAGAGCAACAGAACATGGGGACGAAGCACCATCTACAAGCCGGAGGAGTTTGATGATGTCAAGAAGGGGATTAAGAAGAAGGGGCGAACGTGGGGACCGAGCTCCGTTCAGACCAAGGAGCGGGGAAACTGTGCTGAAAGGTACAGGACTTGTGTTTCTTTCCATCTCCATTCAGTATTTATTTTGTCATCTTCATGGTGTCTGTGTGGGTTGTTTGATGAAACCGACGTGTCCTGGCAGAGTGAGGCCACTGTCTGATGGAAACAACCCCTGGTCCACCAGTCTGGTGAAGTCCCAGAAGTCAGTTCCGTTGGCTGCGTTGTTTGCAGAGCAGCAAGGTGAGGGAAATTTGTCTTCTAATATAATCAGATACAACACAACAAGACCATTTCTTAGTTCCTGTCAAAAGCTTATCAATGACAATTTGTCTCTGTCCTCGTCCTTCATGTTCAGGGACCAATAAAGATGAGATGTGCTCACCAGATGGCTCGGACAACACCAAACCAAAGCAACTGAAGTTCCCCAATCAGGTGTACATCGATCTACCTCTGTGGAAGGATGAGCAGCAGCAGGGGGGTGAGGGGACGGCAGGAGGCTTCCCAGGGGAAAGCCTGGAGGACCCCAGCACCACCTCAGCCAGCTCCACCAGCACCACCCCCCAGCACACCCCCACCAACAGCCTGAAGAGGGCCTCAGCTCGCCGCCGGACAGATACTGTGCTCTACGTCTGTGCCTCGATGCTGGCCTCGGTGGGGCTGGGCTTCGACCTGTGTGACACGCTCAAGGCCCCACCGGGAGACGACCCTGAGCCCCAGCCCAGCGTGGAGAAAAAGAAGAAAGAGGGGCTGTTCCAGCGCGCCACACGCTTCCGCCGCAGCACCAGCCCCCCTGGTGTACGTTCCTCCCGCAAGGAGGAGGCAGCCTTACCCTTGTCGGCAGCCTCCCAAGGCCCTGTCAACCTCATCTCCATGTCCTCCATCTCAGAGTGCAACTCCACCAAGTGCCTCCTGCAGTCGGACGTGGAGGGGCCTGAGCCCAGCCCTGTGAAGGAGGTAGACCCCAGAGCACAGCCCAACAGCGGCTCCCAGCCACAGGGTCCACAGGGGCCGGGCAGCAGGACTCCAGCTGAGGTCGAGCCCCTCCCCCAGCCTGCAGCCCCAGAGCAGACTCCGCCTCAGAGCATGGGCTCTCGCCTCCGGAGGAAGAAGTCGTCCGTCGTTCAGGACAGTGAGTGAAAGTGACAGTCAGGACTGTATAATGTAGTAGTGTTGTTTAATGCTGTGAGGTGACACCACTGTACAACTGCACCCTGAACGGGTGCAATGAAACTGACTGCTTATTTATTTCCACAGCTAATGGTACATCTGGCTTTCACACGACCTCATCGGGACAGTCTTCCACCACGACCTCTCAGAAGAAGAAGTCTGACAGGGAGGAGACACCTGAGACAGCAGCCAGTGGGGAGACTGTCGCCTCCAGGCCCCGGCCTCTGTCCCTCCGGGGCAAACCCCACTCCTGGGGTCTCCTGAGTGGCCGCAACAAGAGCTACTCCCTGGGCCACTACTCTGGAGAGAAGAGCGCCAGGAGCCTCAACATCGTCCTCTCCTCCGCCGAGGTCAAGATGGACTGCTCTCTGCTGGACATGGACACGGAGGGGCAGAAACGTGACTGCACCGTGCCCCTCTGCCGAATTCAGAGCGGCCCCATTCGCCCCTCCGTCTTCGAACTAGAGAAAAAGTTCTTGTCATAGCAGAAATAAGCTGCCTTATTACCAGGGTACCAGAGCACAATTTTTAACTAATGTTTCAGTTGGATCAACAACTCTTATTTGACATTCCAGGGCATTCCACTGCCCTCGTTGTTTTTACCTGAATGTGGGCCACTGCTGCTTGACGATACCTGTGCTTTTTTATTTATATCTGTAATATTTTGATAGGTAATTTAATATTGGGGGGGAAAAACATGTTTCAATAGCATCAGGTTGATTGAACAACGAAGGAACATATTCCATTTTCTGTTGCAAAAATGTCACAATTTTTCTGCACACACACTGGTTTGGATCTTGGCATCTCAAGTTAGAAAATTATGCGTACTTTCAAATGTCAAACAATGTTAATTTGCTTTTGTTTGTAAAAATATTTTTCTCCATTTTGATTTAATGCTGGTAATTATTTTGTATTGATTTTGTTTATCGTTGTTATTTTATAGATACCACAGTGTTTATTTTAGGACAAGTTCTGTCCAATGTTAGAGGTAATATTGAATGTCTTCTGTCTGGAAGTCAACATGTGGCTCAACTGACATATGTAGAGTAACAGTGCATCCAACAACACTGGAGATCCTAATCTCAACACTGAAACACTAAACCAGGCAGTAACAGTGCAACCAACAACACTGGAGATCCTAATCTCAACACTGAAACACTAAACCAGGCAGTAACAGTGCAACCAACAACACTGGAGATCCTAATCTCAACACTGAAACACTAAGCCAGGCCTGGTCAGCCTCTACTTTACCACTATACGACTAGACAAGAGTTACAAACCACTGAACCCGTACCACTACTGTACATAAAGACTATTCAGCATTATGAGCTGCTATGGTTTATGTGGAATATGACCATTTGGCTCGAAACCAATTCACATGGGGGGCTTAGTCTACCTAGCTTCCTGTGCAAACACTATTTTGAAGAACAAAGAGATGGGAATTGGATGGGGAAAAGTATGAAGGTGTTTATTTGGCTTATCATAAATGTATATTTTGTCTGAATGGTTATGATTACAGTATTGATTATTTCACACCTTTGTTCATAAAGATAAAATGCCTAAAGATGGAATGACATTTTGAAAAAACATATTCCAATACTTGTTTGAGAAACAGTTAGATGTAGTATTCCTTAGCTTTTTGTTAATATGAAAATGATTGCTGACAGGAACTGCCTTCTTGTTGATGCCACTAGACTACACAAGTTATCGTCTAAATATTCAGTTCCCATTTAAGTCCCATGCAAGTCATTAGTACCGAGCAACATGTAAATATCCAATGTACAGTATTTTTGTTCGTCCCGTTATACTGTTTACAAAGAATACTGAATGTTAAATAATCTCTCCTTTTGTAGTACTGTTTAAATCTTGAGCACTTCTCTTGATTTTAAATCAACATTCCTAATGGTACATCCCAGTCAGCTGTTGAAGTCAATACAACTGGAAGAACATTTATTTTTATTTTTTTAACACTGCCTTTGAGATCACATCACTGTCATAGCTAGAGCATTTATGGGGTCCTTGCTATATCCTGACATGTTATGCCTGCCATTAATACAACAAATTTGATAAGGCTTTTGCTTTTTCATACTTTTTATTAGCGTTGTGTTAGCTGTGTGTGGGAGAAGAACAGTACAAGAGATTGAGACTACGACAACAGACATTTACAGATCTTTAGTTATTTAATTTTTGAAAACCTGTTATCACTTTTTGTTCACACCACAGAATCCCAGCGTTGTTTTATCTTCATGAATCCCCATGTTAACAATCACAGGCTTTAAGTGTAATATATCAGTTGACCTCTTTTATACTTGCAAGCATGGCTGTCTGATTAGCATGATAGGTCTTTAAACCAGTGTGAATCTTCAGAAACCCTCCACCTTCTTTCTGGAAATGTAAATCAACTCAAGACGACCATACTAAACAAATCTGAATTCATACCTTCAGAAAGTATTCACACCCCTTGACCTTTTCCAAATGTTGTGTTTAGTCTGAATTTAAAATGGGTTCAATTGAGATTGTGTGTCACTGGCCTACACACAATACCCCATAATGTTTTTAGAAATGTTTACAAATTAATTAAAAATGAAATGTCTTGAGTCAACAAGTATTCAACCCCTTTGTTATGGCAAGCCTAAATAAGTTCAGGAGTAAGTTGCATGGACTCACTGTGTGCAATAGTGTTTAACAAGATTTTTGAATGACTACCTCATCTCTGTACCCCACACATACAATTATGTGTAAGGTCCCTCAGTCGAGCAGTGAATTTCAAACAGATTCAACCACTAAGACGAGAGGTTTTCCAATGCCTCGCAAAGAAGGGCACATATTGGTAAAAAATAGCAGACATTTAATATCCGTTTGAGCATAGCGAAGTTATTAATTACACTTTGGATGGTGTATCAATACACCCAGTCGCTATAAAGATACAGGCGTCCTTCCTAACTCAAGTTGCCGGAGAGGAAGGAAACCGCTCAGGGATTTCACCGTGATAGGAGAAAACTGAGGATGGATCAACAACATTGTAGTTACTCCACAATAATAACCTAATTGACAGAGTGAAAAGAAAGCCTGTACAGAATAAAAAATATTCCAAAAAATGCATCCTGTTTGCAATAAGACACTAAAGTAAAACTGCAAAAAATGTGGCAAAGAAATTAAACATTGTGCTGAAAACAAAGTGTTATGTTTGGGGAAAATCCAACACATCACTGAGTACCACTCTTCATATTTTCAAGCAGGGTGGTGGCTGCATCATGTTATGAGTATGCTTGGCAAAACTTGAACATGACTGTCTAGCAATGATCAACAACCAACTTGAAGAATTTTTAAAAATAATAATGTGCAAATATTGTACAATCCAGGTGTGCAAAGCGCTTAGAGACTTACCCAGAAAGACTCACAGCTGTAATCGCTGCCAAAGGTGATTCTAACATGTATCGACTCAGGGGTGTGAATACTTATGTAAATCAGATATTTCTGTATGGGGTATTGTGGGTAGATGTGTGACTGTTATCAAAACGTCACGCCAAGGTAAGCCTACACAGCCCTTATTTTAAGTATTTCTAAAATCCCCTATGGGAAAAATGAATGGTGGAAAAACGATTGAAACCATTTCCCTGTTTGACCGCTAGGTTTTATGGGTATCTATGACTCATACTGTGGTACTCTAGGGTTTCCCAAACTCGGTCCTGAGGCCCCTGGGTGCACGTTTTGGTTTTTGCCCTAGGACTACACAGCTGATTCAAATAACCAACTCATCATCAAGCTTTGATGATTTTAATCAGCTGTGTCATGCTAGGGCAAAAACTACAACGTGCACCCAGGGGGGCCCCAGGACCGAGTTTGGGAAATTCTGCTCTATGGTATGAGACTAGGCTAGCAATATTGAAAAAGCACAATCATTCCTCTCCTTGTGTGAGATATTCAGACTTTCCGTGTACTAAGCGCTTGTGCAGTTGGAGTGGTGTTGTAGGGCCCCGTGTAGCTCAGTTGGTAGAGCATGGCGTTTGCAACGCCAGGGTTGTGGGTTCGATTCCCACGGGGGGCCAGTATGAAGAAAAAAAAAATGCATGCACTCACTAACTGTAAGTCGCTCTGGATAAGAGCGTCTGCTAAATGACTTAAATGTAAATGTGTTGCACTCAACAAGCTGTAAGATAGACCAGCGTTTCCCAAAGTCGGTCCTTGCTAGGGCAAAAAACTAAACGGTTAAGACTGACTTTGGGAAACCCTGAGATAGACGTGAATGAGCTCTGCTGTTGATCTGCAGACTCTCTCTGTTGACGAGGGAGAAAACAACCTACCGTCTCCTATGTTCCCAACACTTTCACCAAAGCTCAAAGTTGCTCATATTCCATGAGACAGTTTTTTTATACTGTATTTTTAACCAGCCGTTTGGTTTGTGAAATTATGTAAAAGCAAAATTGGCAAATGTATTTTATTTAAAAAAATATTTGTTACATATTATCCATGTACATACTTTTATTTGTGACCTAGTGTATTGTATTGTAGTTATTTCCTGAATAAATCATCTGTATCGTGTTTTAGGGAAGGAAGTTTACCCCAAGAAGTTGAATACATTGTAATAGATTTTTCTCCTTTGTAGATGAGGTTAAATCTATAAAACATGAAAAAGTATGATTTGTAAAAACTAAACATCCTATTATACATGTATTATACATATTTGATGGTTATATGGTTAGCAAAAACCATAGTCTGAAAACATATTGGCATTCTGTTACAATTCACAACAATCTAAGTTTGAGCATAATAGAAAGTGTAATTCCCCTAAATGATTCAGGGTTAAAACTACTGTCGCTGCATGCGTAAGACTAAATAATGAAATGTGAAATATATAATTGTATGATTGTGTCCCATGTCATGCTCCATACAGGTTGGTGGAAACATAACAAATCTATAGTGATATAATGTTAAAGATACAGTATGACGTAGAATGTATTCATAAAGAGCGATCAAATGGACTGTCGATTTTACACCAAATGATTCGTTGTAAGATCTGATATTGCAATTTATGAATTGTAGATTTGAATTGTTGTCTGAGATGACTCTAGTATAAGATAAATAGTTATTGTTCAGATTTGTTTGGAATTATCAGTTTCCCCTTGTGTAAATCAACCTCAATAAAGATCTCCTCAAGGGTATGTTTGTCAAAGCAAAATGAGTAGATTTTATTTTCATTTGAATACAGACAGTGTAATGAGTAATTTAGCAGACATTTATCCAGAGCAACTTACAGTCAGTGCATTCAAGTAAGGTAGGGAAGACAACCACATATCACAGTCATTGCAAATAAAAAAGTACTTTCTTCAATAAAGCAGCTTTCTGCAAAACCAGTGCTAGTAAAACCTTGATTGATTCATTATTTGAATTGTTGTTTCATTACATTCATTGATTACATATCATTGTAATCAGGACACAGGTGACTGTAATTTACTGGGATTCTATGGCTGCGTTTACACAGGCAGCCCAATTCTGATATTTTTTCCCCATTATTGGTCTTCTGACCAATCACATCAGGTATCTTTCAGAGCTGATCTGATTGATCAAAAGACCAATTAGTGAAAAAAAGATCAGAATTGGGCTGCCTGTGTAAATGCAGCATTAGTAATTCTATGGGAGATGGTAGGTTGTTTTGTCCCTCGTCAACACACAGAGACTGCAGATCAACAGCAGAGCTCCTTCACATATATCTTACAGTGCAACACCACCCCAACTACACAAGCACCAACTACACAAGGATAGGAATGATTGTGCTTTATCAATATCTGCCTACTAGCCTAGTGAGGCGGCAGGTAGCCTAGCGGTTAAGAGCGTTGGGCCAGGTTGCTGATTCAAATCCCGGAGACAGCAAGGTAGACAAATCTACCGTTCTGCCCTTGAGCAAGGCAGTTAACTCCCAACAACAACTGCTCCCGTGGACGTCGATTAAGGCAGCCCTCCCCACACCTCTCTGATTCAGAGGGGTTAGGTTAAATGCGTAAGACACATTTCGGTTGAATGCATTCAGTTGTGCAACTGACTAGGTATCCCCTTTCCATTTATTATGCAACAGGAGGCAAGTGGTTTATTTTGGCCTACCAAAGTTTTTAGTTTTTGGTTAAAAAAAAGATTGATTACATAACACACATTTTCATTGTTTGGTGTCTACTCATAGTTTTACATACAACATTTGTCAACAAAGCATTTAATGAAAGAAATGTGAAGGATCCTAAAGTGCATCTCTGTGCAGTACCTAAGGTAATAGTGAATACATCAGTGTATACTTCCGGAGCGGTTTGATTGTCACAGTATCATGTTGAGTTTCCGGTTTGGCAGAGAAATCCAGGGCTACATTTTCACCTACAGGAGGAAATAAAAAAAGAGGAGAGAAACTTAAAAATGTCCCAAAGCTAAAACAAATCTGGGTGACTTTACACATGTCAATGATCTAAAAATACAGAACAAGGAAGTTCTTTACTCAAAGGGAAGATTTGACAAAGCTAATCTTAGTCCCAAGGCACAACTCACTACTCGCCCCATATGAATATCTCTCTAGGGAGAGATTTCTCTCTCCCTTGATGACGGTTAATACTTATCCCCTCATTTTGTAATCTTTTGTCCTGGCCGACAGCCTTTTTTGAACAGCCTTTCTCCCCTGACTCCCTGGGGTCAACACAGAGAGCGTACAACCGGTCTACACTTTCGGCTCCCAAACAAATGCCAGACTCGGATGCTAGCTTTGGCTGGCTGTCTCAGGTGTTGCCTGCTCCTGAGGTGTGAAGTGCTGGGTAATGTAAGGCATACCTGGGGGAAGACATTAGACCCGTTCACTCACAGTGTGGTGATGCAGGCCCTAGGGCTCCGGGTGCTTCTGCGGTCCAGCAGGTGCAAGCGACTCTCGGCCGTCAGGCAGTAGGTGGTCCCGGGGCTCAGATCTGAGATCAGGAGCTTTTTGGCACAGCCCTCCATTTCAAATGTTTCCTTCACAAGGATTAGTCAGAGAATAGGCTTAGTCAGAAGTGCTAGAGATATTTGAGTTGTTAGTCATAACTCTGAAGACTTGGCAGCACTCGTCAAGTAAAAAGCTTGAAGGATTCTGTGAACCTCTTAACTATTTCAGTAGTTTATAACTATTCTGTGACCATTTTGTCTCAAGTCTTAAGCTCCATTTATACCTGATGTTAACATGCGACCTTTGTCCTGATCATGTCCACATTCTGATTGAGCCCACATTTTTAGACAGGTGTAGACAATTAAAAGACAAATTGTGATCAGATCTTTCTGACCACCTCTGGAGGAAGCCATTTGTATGTGGATATCTTAAGAGTGTAAACAGATCTGGATGGTCAAACTATTTAAATCCTCATTATACTGCCCTGTAAAATAATTGACAGGTGGCACCATTGACTTATAAATTCATATTACTTTGGAAGAATATCTGTCAAATAATTTGCATACAAGGAGGGACAAGGAAATCTGGTTACAATGCAGACACAGTGGACAGAAAAGAGACACCTTTTAATTACCAAGTGTAGACCCGACAAACCTTGATAAGATAGTGATTGGATCATCTTGATCAGATCACAAAACACACGTTAGCACAAGGTATAAACGGGGCGTTGGAGTTAAAGTTGGAAAATACCAAAGTTGGAAAATACCATTGTTTAGGACAATTTACTAATTATAAATAACAGTAGCTAGTTACCTCCTCAACATCATTGTGCATGAGGTGTATTGTATATGACATTCTTTGCAGCCTCCTCACACTGATCCAGCTGCCATTAGATCTCCTGTGGGGAGAGCGTGGAGGCTTGAGCCGGACCACAATGCCTTTCTCCATCACATGAAGTTTCATAGTCGGGGGGCTGACAGAGGCTGCAATATACAGAGGCCAAACCACGCTGTCTAGTAACAACAGCTCTGAAAATGTAAATCCTTGTTTGCATAAAACACTTCTGATTACCCATATACCATGGATAGTAATGAGAAGCACTTACTCTCCCACTTGGGGTTGAATCTGGCGGTTAGGACCCATGGTGACTGGGTCCCTGAGTGGGCTGCGTGGACCCTGGCGTAGTACCATTCTCTGGGGTCGGACATCTCCTGGCTCAGGTCACAGAGCAGCCGGCTGATGCCATGGCACTTCTCTGCATTGGTCCACTGCTTCTCCCCATATCTGAGGTGGGGAGGGAGGAGAAATGAAAGGAATAATCTGAGCATGTATTCATAAAACTGATCCTAGATCAGCACCCCTACTCAAAGACGCTTTACGAATACAGGCCCAGAAATATAAATTGAAACAAAGTATGATAGGTGCATGTCACGTCTTGATACATGCACGTCTTTTCACCTGTGTTTTACTTGTAAAATGTACAGAATTTAATAAGAAAATATACTGAAAAGTATTTCTCATTTGTTTGAACAGAAAATGAACAACAACTCCTGAATTGCAATCAGCACATGCCTAGCTCATTGTTCTACATTACTTTGAGCTATAGGATGATATAGTAACCATATTTGTGTTCATATAGTAGCCTACGTCAGATCCACATAGCTTTGACTCAAACAGTTTTGATACTCACACTTTCCACTGGACAAAGTATTGTTGGTCGTTGGTAGAGTTGGCATGTTGCTTCCAATGCAAGACATTTCTGTAGTCTAGGGAGTGGAATTTCACCTCCTGTGGGGCGAAGACATCTAGAGGATTTTCTTTGCCTGAAATGGACACCAGTGTCATACAGCAATACATTTTCTCCTAATTGGAAGAGAGATACACATTGCAGGCATTTGATATTATAACCATGCACATGCATCATGTTGAATATGAAGACGGGACTTACTCTCTGAGCAGCGACTGAGGGAGCTGTAGCACAGCAGTAGAGTGGGGACAAGGAGGGATGCCATGTTAGCTGTAGCGAGGTATTATGACATACAGACCTGGCTCAGCTCTGTGCCCTTTTTAATCAACAACAGTTCCCTTTTTTAACTTCCATGAGAGGCATAGTTAACTTGTTTGTGACGACATAGCACGTTTTCCCTGTAATATAGATGATATGTAGGTTTTATGACATAGAGATCTGGCTCAGCTCTCTGCCCTTTTTAACTATGCCTCTCATGGAAGTTAAAAGAGGGAACAAGTGTTTGTGACGACATGGCACATATGGTAATATCGATGAACAAGTAGAAAATTGTAAAGGCAACAAATGTAGATAATATTTTGGTTGAACACTTATGAAGATGGATAGAGAAAAAACTTAGTGCTAATATAAATGTGCAATATTAATGTCTGTACCCGCTACTGCACTATACCATGTTTATACTACTGCACTGTCAGATAATACAATTAATTGAATTATGGAACTGGTGCCATAAAGTTATATGTGAAGTTAAGACATTTATTAGGACCAATGTGAGTGGGCAAATCACACCTGTGCACGAAAACAAGATAATATTATGCTGGCATGAACACTAACATGTGTTAGTGTAGAGGTGTGCAGCAGTCATGGGTTCAGGTGTGTGGGTGGATGTTGGCTTGAGGTGTGTGTGGGTGTTGGGTATTGTGTGAACACAGGGTCTGGAACAGATAAAAAGCTGACCTTTACCATACTTCCTCAATCCACACTTACTTCAACTTTGTAGTAATTGCCATTTATGGCAATTTGTCCATACCTGTGACAAGGCATAAATTAATGAACCCCAATGACCTTCAGAGTCAAAGTAGGCTTTGCAGTTGATCAAAACGTACTACCTATTGCATTTAGAAAGTGCATTATCGTAAAAAATAAAAGTTATTCTACATAAGATATTCTATGATTCACTTTATATAAATAAAAGTATATTCTATACCATTTTGTTCTATACTAAACAAAAAAATAAACGCAACATGCAACAATTTCAAAGGTTTTACTGAGTTACAGTTCATAAGGAAATCAGTCAATTTAAATAAATTCATAAGGCCCTAATCTATGGATTTCACATGACTGGTAATATAGATATGCATCTGTTGGTCACAGATACCTTTTTTTTAAAAGGTAGGGGCGTGGATCAGAAAACCAGTCAGTATCTGGCGTGACCACCATTTGCCACATGCAGCGCAACACTTTGAGTTGATCAGGTTGTTGATTGTGGCCTGTGGAATGTTGTCCCACTCCTCTTCAATGGCTGTGCAAAGTTGCTGGATTTTGGCGGGGACTGGAACACACTGTCGTTCACGTTGATCCAGAGCATCCCAAACATGCCCAATGGGTGACATGTCTGGTGAGTATGCCAGCTTCCAGGAATTGTGTACAGATCCTTGTGACATGGGGCTGTGCATTATCATGCTGAAACATGAGGTGATGGCGGCGGATGAATGGCACGACAATGGGCCTCAGGATCTCATCACGGTATCTCTGTGCATTCGAATTGCCATCGATAAAATGCAATTGTGTTCGTTGTCCGTAGCTTATGCCTGCCCATACCATAACCTCGCCGCCACCATGGGGCACTCTGTTCACAACGTTGACATCAGCAAACCGCTCGCCCACACGACGCCATACATGCTGTCTGCCAGCTGCCCGGTACAGTTGAAACCGGGATTCATCCGTGAAGAGCGCACTTCTCCAGCATGCCAGTGGCCATCGAAGGTGAGCATTTTCCCACTGAAGTCGATTACGACGTCAAACTGCAGTCAGGTCAAGATGAGCACACAGATGAGCTTCCCTGAGACGGTTTCTGACAGTGTGTGTAAACATTATTCGGTTGTGCAAACCGAGTTTCATCAGCTATCCGGGTGGTTGGTCTCAGATGATCCCGCAGGTGAAGAAGCCGGATGTGGAGGTCCTGGGCTGGCGTGGTTACACGTGGTCTGCGGTTGTGAGGCCGGTTGGACGTACTGCCAAATTCTCTAAAACGACGGTGGCCTATGGTAGAGAAATTGACATTAAATTATCTGGCAACAGCTCGGTGGACATTCCTGCAGTCAGCATGCCAATTGCACACTCCCTCAAAACTTGGGACATCTGTGGTATTGTGTTGTGTGTTAAAACTACACATTTTAGAGTGGCCTTTTATTGTCCCCAGCACAAGGTGCACCTGTGTAATGATCATGCTGTTTAATCAGTTTCTTGATATGCCACACCTGTCAGGTGGATGGATTATGTTGGCAAATGCTCACTAACAGGGATGTAAACAGATTTGTGCACAACATTTTGAACATTTCTGGGATCTTTTATTTCAGCTCATGAAACATGGGACCAACACTTTTCATGTTGCGCTTATATTTTTGTTCAGTATATATTATGAATATCCTTGAGTGAAAACAATGGTGATTTAGAAGTTTTCTCAAGAAGAAGCAAATAATGTGCAGGCATATAAAGGGTTAAGAAGAGTGTTTTTGTTAAAGAATCCTGACAACCTTTGACCTGGTTGCCTTGGAGCCATTTTGGGGCGTCTCCAGCTGTTCTATCCCATCACTGTTTCACGGCGGCCCTCCTTTCTCCTCCTGTTGATTTACACCTGCTCCCCGTGAGAGCCAGGCTTTTGTAATGGCCCTGAGGCACCCACTTCACATCCATTCTCAGAGCTAGAACAATGGGAATATCTGATTTACTTTTCACTGGTAGTAATTAAAGGCAGAGGAATTGGCTCCTTTTACTTGAAACTAGTCTAAGGGCCTCTTCCCGATGCAGTCTGCCCATGCCATTTAGAGGAACGAGCGGGTAGTGATTGCTTAAAATGTCAAACGAAAGCAAACAGACATCCGGCGTTTCTTCCTTATTTACTAGTAGTAGTACCTTTGTGAGGTTGTTTTTCAATAACAGCAGTTAAGCTCTTTCCTGTTAAGGTCTGCTCCAATATTCATTCAATACTACTTGTTTGGCTTTGCTGAAATATCTACTTCCCTTCCTCCATATTAGAATTTCATTGACATGAAATAGAATTTCACTGACATGAAAATGTCCTTCAGACATCCCTGCAAGCATAATTTGTTTGCTCTTTCAAATCTGTATTTAGTAACATAGTAATTACAAAAATCAAAGTAATTATAATATATATATATATATATACACACATACATACATACATACCACACACACCCGTTCAAAAGTTTGGGGTTGACAGCTGCATACAATGCGTTTGGACGGTAAGATGAACTCAATATCGCCATCTGCCGGCCTTTGGGCACCAGAAATTACAGCAAGGCAAGCTAGGCATCAGAAATTACAGCAACAAAATAAATTATCATCACCATAGCAATCCCCTTGCATTGGTATAACTTGTTCATCTGAATATAATAGGACATGTTCCTAGTAATATTTTGGAACATTGTACATGCATGACAGCCATGTAAAAACTGCAAATACAACAAATATACACAGCACAAGACAAAAGACAATAACCTAATGAATATATTAATTCTGCTCTCCCAACCCTTATTCTCTTGTTACCTTAGTAAACATTCATGTCACTCAAGAAGGCACAGTAAAATAATGGAGAAGAGGAACTATATATATTTTGCTATAGGAAATGTCTTAATTTGGCCTAATGAAATTCAACATTACAATGGGGCATGTAGGTCAGGAATGAGGGCATATCTTTTTGACACTAGTTCCTAGAATAAAATAACACAGTGTACCACTTGGGTTTTACATAGTCTATCCCTGGTTCCCCTGAGTTGGCAACAGTCCCATAGACTACCCAAATAGTGAGAGGAACAGGGAAATTATTGGTAGCTGACTGAGCATGTGCAAAGACAAATGTGTTAGTTTTTCATGATCGTGTTTTTAAGTCACTTTTCTTAAATTGCTTGTAAATAGTGTTTTTATAGCTTTGGAATTGTAAATGTGTATGATTGCGTGCAAGGCACCCTTGTAAATGAGGCCTTGGTCTCAATGGGATTTCCCTGTTTAAATACATTTACAAAATATTACCATCCTTTCTCTTGAGAGAAACTCAGATCTCAGATCTTGTATCCTGTAACAGTGTCCCCAGGACTCATCTCCTCTATCACAGGTCTATGGGGGCAGTCATAGTCCGACAGCTCAGAGAAGTCCCTCTTCACCTCCAGTCCCAACCCTCTCGTTACCTCCAGTGAAGAGCCTGACCCCTCGTTGGGCAACATGACGTCCCCACCGCTCCACTCCTGGTCCTTCAGTCCAATGGGGAGGCGGAGGACCTCTTCCTGGGGGGTACTGATGACTGTGAGGGTCTCATCTGGCAAAAAATCCACGGGGGTCTGCAGGAGGGGGGAGCCACCTGTTTGTACCTCACTCAGAATGGCTTTCTCAGGGTGCATAAGGGACACACCTGAACCCATATGTGACAGCATGGAAGCCTACCAGAGAAGGAGAACATACAACATTCAGTCAAACATTCTGTGGGTGAAATTTGTTTTTAATGTACTATTGTTTTGACAGTGTTTGCAGGAAGTAGCATATCAATAGTTTAATAACTCCAACAGGAACATGACACTCATCATTTCTACAATGTACCAACAAGTGCTCTCCTGAAACCATCTCTACATGACTATAATCTAGTCTATATGGAGTAGCTTTATGAATAAATCCACTGCAGTGCAGGCCAAACAGTTGAAAGGCTGAACACACCAAAGACTTTGTTTGAGGGAATGAGCCAGTTGTCCGTTTACTGTATATCAGCCAAACGATGAACACAATCACAACCATGACAACGATAGGGATCACAATGTAGAGGGCAGTGTAGCTAGGACCTACAGGGGACAAATCCAGCAGTTAGACTGACAGTCAAACTGATTTCACATACAAAACTGTACAGCATCCTAATTGAGCATTTGATGACAAAATCAGTCATAGTATGACAATAGACAGGTATAACTTTCAAAGCACGTATCAGATATTAGCAGATGTGGTTTATCAAATGATTACAGACAATATTTGCTAAACAATAACAGACCTACTGAGACCTAATGTCACTTTGACGTTTCCATGTGAGAAATTAAAAGTCTTACCAGAATCCCCATGCTTCTCCTCAATGCATATGTTCTGGTGAGCTGAAACAGGAACATTCTTCATTTTTCCTTTTATCTTGATGCAGTGCCTGTCCATCTCTCCATCAACTGGTATTTCAGCCTCACACACATGGTGTTGCTTGTAGGAGCAGGTAAAGCTATGTTGTTTCTGGGGAAATAAAAAAAGGAATATATTTAGGCTATATTATAACAACGTTCGTAAAAATAACTAAATATGCAAATGTTTATATTTGAAGGATATAAATGTGTTTCCTTTTGAAAAATAAAGCTGCTTTGCTTGCAAGTGAAAACAATTCACAGCAAGTATACGCATGTGAAAAATCTGAGCTTCTACAAGTGTTCCCCAGTCATTTCTAAGTCATAATTTTCTGTCAGTTCTTACCAAGTGATATTCTGTGATAACCATGTAATCAAATTCCTTATGATCCGGTCTTTCATCTTTGATGATGGCATGTTTGTAGATGTGAAACGGGTGAATGAATTGAACTTTTATCATTTTATCAAATACAGCTGAGATGTTGACAGGTGGGAAATCCAATGAGCCTAAAAAAACCACACAAAAGACCATTACTTCGTGCAAATCTGAGGTCAGAAAATATGTGCAAAATCTCCCACCTCTGAGCATTGTGTGGTCAGATCAACAAAGAAATGCTACATGTGCTGCAGTGCATACAGTGTATTTACAAACCCTTTCAAGATACTACCCCAATTCTATTTGTCAATCGCTACATACTGTATAACATTGTTCCCATAATTCGCCTTTTGGTTAGCTCAGTGTGAGAACTTACACTGTACATCCACCAGGTCTGATTTCACAATATCGTCGTAGGTGAATGAAATTTCAGAGGAATTTGTATTCTGTCCAACAACAGCAGTTAATATGAAACGGTAGCCCTCTTCAATTACTTTGGTAAATGAGGAGACATCGCAGTGGTAGAGTGAAGTGTTTGAACAAACCAAGGCAGCACTGAAAGATAGAGGAAAAAAATTGTTGTGGGTTAGTGGCAACCTCTGATTTGGACTGAAATGTTAGTTCACAATTACAATGGAGAAGCTGACAAAGAACTGTTGACAGGACTTTACATTTCTATGGGTCTGACAGTGCATGTACATTTTCCAATTTCTACTTGAAATTGTGGCTATTGTGGTATTGTGGCAAGAAACATTTAATATTCACTAGCTATATATACGCTACACTGGATAGCCTAGGCCATATTTGGTGAAAAATATAAACGTGAGCGATTAAGCAACCAATATGCTGCAGCACCTACCCAGAATGTATTCTTCTCATTTCCACATTGAACTGTGGCTGTAGAGATGGTTCACTGTAGTTCCAATAGATCACATTGTGGAAATTGTGGCAGATCAGGCGCACGTTGACAGGAGGAGGAACTGTAGGATAAAATAGTAGAAAGTCAGTCCGAATCAAAAAGCTCAGTCAAGACAGAGATTTATATTTACCATATAATGACTGTGTTTCTAAAACTATGCTATATCTATAACAGCATAACATACTAGCAATTAAATATATCATAGTGATGTTGCAACAATAACCTGTATACCAGGGTTCCCCAATTACAGTCAGGCGTGGGCCAATCTTTTATTGAGCGGATGTTAAGGAGACCGGTACATAACTATAAATAATCTGTACACTGCAAATTGACCGCAAGAATCCAAAAAACAGATATAGTATTTGACAAAAACAGAATCATGATTCAAACCTTGATTACATTGGGATACGATCACATATGGCTCTCTATTTATGTGTGGGAATACTTGGGAACAGATTTCCTAAATTGGTGATTTTACAGTCTTTTATATCCAACAACAAAACATTTGTATTATCATCATCATCATCATCATCATTCAATTATTATTTTTTGTGCAGAAAACCGAATTTGGCCTGCATGCTGCCTATTGGGGAACCCTGCTGTATAGAGTATCTGAGGAATACAGATGAGTCATTACACCTCAAAAAGCACAAGAAAGAGGATTTCGACACCCACCATCTTAGACTGTTCTGAAATCCTTTCTGTAGTTAGAAACAGATATCATTAGCATTCCTGAAACGTTATTTTGTTGAAAATAATTTGATCTCTGAGAAATTAAGCTAATTGATTGAACCCAAATTGGCCATTTTAATTTATAGGATTCATACAATCTTCAATAAATGTAGTACCTAACATCCGATTTAGACCATAAGTTTTACTAACAATGAGTAAGACATGAAGAATCCAATAAACTGATCAAAAGCCACCCACGGACCCTCCACAACCCATGCCAATGAAAACCTAACAACCAGTATACAGTATCGGTTCTCTATGTTTGACAAGTAGTATGGAGCTGCTGCTTGGAGTATTGCTCCTTCATCCGGTGATGTTTTTTTTCCTTCTCCCCTGTTCAGAGAAATTAGCCATTAAAGTCGCTTGCATTATTTACCATAAATTAGTGTGCAAGTACCAAGTTTTTCCCACTAGATGCCGCTGTTCTCACTACTGCCGCCACACTTTTATCCATGTGGCTGGTCTCTTGTGTTTATTAAATGAATCACAACCTTTTCTTTGGAAAGATTTTTGGGTAGAAAACCAATAGCTTTTGCTCATGATGAAAATAGATTGTATGGTGATCCTCACAATTTAAGACAGTCCTCCATGAAAGCAATTTAGTTTGTCATTCTGTTAGGCTTAATTTGTGTCCAGGAAACAGCCCTATGTGTGTGGTTTGATCTCTTCAAAAAGGTCTGGATTAGTTAGACCATTCCTGGTGAACAAGCAAATATCAGGCTACAGCAGTTCTAATGGTTTCAATGTTATGGTCTCTAACGGTCTTCAATGGTAAAAGTCCCAAACACACACTTTATAGTGTTTTGCAATGGTAATAATGGTATAGGGTTGGGTTTAATGGTAAATGTCACTAATCACATAGAGACGTTTTCTAATAATTGTATTGAAAAACATATGACTGCCATGCAATGGTTTATAATTGTATTATTTTATTAGGGTTGTCACAACATTTTAGTCACTATCCCATTTCTACATCAGTGTTTTGAACAAAGTCTTCATATGAGAATTGCACCATACAGATAGATAGCCCTCAGAGAGCTGCCATTTGTTGGACTATTCAAGGAGAGTTGGGTTGAAGCATTAGGTTGTGAAGAGAAGGACAAACTGAATTGCTTTCATGGAGGACTGGCTTGACCACACAATTGATTTTCATCATGAGCAAAGGTTATTGGTTTTCTACCCAAAGTTGCAAAGAAAATGTTGTGATTCATTTAATAAACCAGCTAAATGGATAAAAGGGTATGGTGGCAGTAGCAAGAACAGCAGCATCTAGTGGGCAAAACCTGGTACTTTCACACTAATTTATGGTAAATAATGCAAACTACTTCAATGGCTAATTTCTATAAACAGGGGGGGAAAAACATCACCAGATTCACAGGGAATACATTACAAATCAGTGAAGAAGCAATACTCAAAGCTGCAGCTCCATACTACTTGTCAAACATAGAGAACTGATACTGTATACTGGTTGTTGGGGTGGGATTGGAGTGGGGTTTGGGGGGTCCGTGAGTGGGTTTTGACCATTTGATTCCTTATGTCTTACTCAATTGTAGGAAGAAGTTTGGTCCAAATCAGATGTTGGGTACTATAATTTGTTGAATATTATGTGAATCCTATCATTTAAAATTGACCATTTGGGTGCAATCAATTTGCTTAATTTCTAAGAGATCAAATTAAATTTTAACAAAATAATGTTTCGGGAACGCTAATCTTATCTGTTTCTAACAGCAGAAACAATCTCAGAACAATCTGAGATGGTGAGTGTCATGCCTTGCTGAAATGACATGGAATGACTCAAATGCCATGTTTTCTGGTGTTTTCCTGATTGTTTTGTCCGGAAGCCATGTATTTTGAGAGTTGGGCCCATAGAATTAGGAATTAAAATACTAGAATGGATATGAACCTTCTTATGATGGGATAAAGGTCAGCCATTTTGGTCAGGGAGTTGGTCAACCATGGTTTGCCAGTGCTGTGGTAAGATATTTTAAAATAATGAATTTGAATAATTTATCTGCACTTTATGCTTGTTAGCTAGTTAGTCAGACAGTTTTAGAGGAATGGTTCCATTAATAATTTAAATTAACTGCCAATTTGCCAACATTCCATTCAAACAATGCAGTCAATCCACAGCCATACACTGGCTGAAAAATATTAGATTTAGACAAGTTGTAAATGCAACAAATACTGATATTGTATCATATAATAGCACTCACAGCTTTCCAAGGAAACAAAAACGACATTGATGGTCTGTTTACATAGATTTTAGAGGCTATTTATACAGAAAATGTGTATAAAAAACATAAACTGTATTTATAATTATGAAAATATTTTAGCTTGACAATCATTCTATTACAACATTTCTGATATATCACATGCCTTACTTTTAGTTTCCTGCATCAGTAAAATCATGATTATGCCTCTACTGCCATTCATTCTATTTGACCCTATGCCAAGCCCCACCCCAGAATATTGGGCAACCAATTGCAGTACTCCGTTGGATAGCAACCGTCTCTAACCAAGCTCGTGTCTGACGTCCTTGGACAACCTCTCATTTCAAAAGCATGGAAGCCAATGAGGGCTATGGCAAAAACAGAGTTTTCTTAAAATAAAAATAAAAATGAATGGCTAAATAATTGAACAGTGCACCTGGGGTACTTGCGACTGTGATTCCTGAAATGCAGAACCTGTTGATGGAGTATTTTTCGATTCCGAAATTATACTTTTGTTGGATCATCAAACAGGCAAAGCGCCAATACAGGACTAAGATTGAATCCTACTACACCGGCTCTGAAGCTTGTCGAATGTGGCAGGGCTTGCAAACTATTACGGACTACAAATGGAAACCCAGCCACGAGCAGCCCAGTGACGTGAGCCTACCAGATGAGCTAAATGCCTTTTATGCTTGCTTCGAGGCAAGCAACGCTGAAGCATGCATGAGAGCACCAGCTGTTCAGGATGACTGTGTGATCACGCTCTCCGTAGCCGATGTCAGCAAGACCTTTAAACAGGTCAACATTCACAAGTCCGCGGGGCCAGACGGATTACCAGAATATGTACTCAGAGCATGCGCGGACCAACTGGCAAGTGTCTTCACTGACATTTTCATCCTCTCCCTGACCGAGTCTGTAATACCTACATGTTTCAAGCAGACCACCATAGTCCCTGTTCCCAAGAAAGCGAAGGTAACCTGCCTAAATGACTACTGCCCCGTAGCACTCACGTCGGTAGCCATTAAGGGCTTTGAAAGGCTGGTTATGGCTCACATCAACACCATCATCCTGGAAAACCTAGACCCACTCCAATTCGCATACCGCCCCAACAGATCCACAGGTGACGCAATCTCAATCGCACTCCACACTGCCCTTTCCCACCTGGACAAAAGGAACACCTATGTGAGAATGCTATTCATTGACTACAGCTCAGCGTTCAACACCATAGTGCCCACAAAGCTCATCACTAAGCTACATCACTGGGGCCAAGCTTCCTGCCATCCAGGACCTATATACTAGGCGGTGTCAGATGAAGGCCCAAAAAATTGTCAAAGACTCCAGTCACCCAAGTCATAGACTGTTCTCTCTGCTACCGCAAGGCACGGGGTACCGGAGCACCAAGTCTAGGTCCAAAAGGCTCCTTAACAGCTTCTACCCCCAAGCCATAAGACTCCTGAACAGCTAATCAAATAGCTACCCGGACTATTTGTATTTTTCGTAAAACTGCATTGTTGGTTAAGGGCTTGTAAGTAAGATTTTCACTGTTGTATTCGGCGCATGTGACAAATACAATTTGATTTGATCATCTATGCATAGTCACTTTACCCCTACCTACATGTACAAATTACCTTGACTAACCTGTACCCCCGCACATTGACTCAATACCGGTACCCCCTGTATATAGCCTCGTTATTGTTATTTTATTGTGTTACTATTTAGTTTATTTTTTACTTTAGTTTATTTATTAAATATTTTCTCAACTCTGTTTCTTGAACTGCATTGTTGGTTAAGGGATTGTAAGTAAGCATTTCACCTGTTGTATTCGGCACATGTGACAAATACAATTTGATTTGATCTCTATAGTTGGGCCATTGAGGTTTCTACATTATGATGCGCATTAGGTCTTCAACAAGGTCCAGAGGGCCGCACAGAAAATGGGTTATATTTCATCGCTGTCAACATTTGCAAAAGATAGTCCTCTATCCATCGTTTTTTTGATGCTCCCTGACTGTCTAGCTTTCATTTAGGTGATTATTAGCGAGCTGGACACAGTCAGGAAACTGTATGAATGTAGGTCCATTATCATTTTTACACAGTTTTGATTTGGTTTTAGTCATTTTAAAGTATATAGAGTTTTTTTGTTTTTTTACTCAAACCACCCCGCGGGCCGGATTTAACCCCCTTGAGGCCCGGATCTGGGCCACATGTTTGACCCCCCTGGTCTAGAATGAACATTATGATGCATTTACATGACACTT